ACAGACTTCTTTGTTCTCTTGGCACTCCATGGTATTTTCAGTACTCTTCTCCAGCATCACAACTCAAAGGCATCGATTCTTCCTCTGTCATCCTCGGTCACTGTTCAGCTCTCTGATGCACAGCAAGTAATTGTGAAGACCATGGCCTATATTAGGCATATCCTAGTCTCCAAACTGAATTCATTGTTGTTCAGCACTCCAGAGAGGTTTCTGACAGTAGAATTTCCCAATGCAATCCATCCTTTGATTTCCTGACCCTTGTTACTAGCATCTAAGGAATCAAAACAAGTATTATGTTGGGAAAATCTGCTTTAAGGGACCTCTCCCAAATCCTAAGTAGCAATGATGTCAGTTTGAAGAGTAAGGTGATTGATTCAAGCCATGGCCTTTTCAGTCACTTGCTATGTATCTGAATGCTGGACAATGAACAAAAATGACAGAAGGGAAAAAAAATATGCCTGTGAGTTGTGGTATTGAAAATGAGTATTGAACATCCCATGGACTGCTAAAAACCAAACAGATGGACATGGTTGAAATCCACCAACTGTTCTGAGAAAAAAGATGGGCAATCTCCTTCTATGGGATTTATGGCCTTTGAATACCCACTGGAGGGTCAGCTGTGAGTCAGTTCCAAATAGCTAGTACACAACCTCAGCAACCAGAGAGAGAGTGTGAGAGAGAGAGAGATCTGGTTTCCTAGAGTTATGAAGCTACATAACCACACTAGTCTTTAGAAGCATCAGTCAGGAAATCAAGCAAGATATTAGAGCAATTCTTCTGCCAGTAACTTCTTTTGAATACTAAAAAGAAAGTATATAACTTTAAAGACTAAGGTGTACCTATTCCAGGTCATGGGGTTATATATTGTTGTTGTTAAGTGCCATCAAGTCGTAGATGACTCGTTGTGACCCTATGAATGAAAGCCCTGAACGCTTGTATAAATTTCATCATTTCTCTAAGTTCATAGAGTTTCTGGATGCAAGCTATTTCAGAAATGGATACCACTCCTACTTCCAAGCCTGTTTTCATCTGGGAGCTCCACCAAATACTGTCCACCATGGGTAACCATTATCACATTTGACACATCAGGGTTAAATATATATATATATATATAAAGTAATTGTACTTGACAGCTTAAAATGTATAGCATATTGGTTAATTCAGGATCTCATAAAGTTACCTTAATACACACACAAACACAATTGCATGGTGTTTTTTTTTCTTTTGGAATGTTATTTTAAGATCATCTTGAACTCATCAAATTTTAGAGCTGAAACAATTAGCTAACCTAATGTATTTATTTTTCTTTATCAGACAAAAAAGACTCTGCAAGATTAAATGACTTTTTCTAGGTCAGCAGAAAATAGAGAGATATAATTCTTCTCACCTTTAGTTTTATTATGTATTGTTCTGTGTGAATTTGTATATAGGTGTGAATTACTATCACCTATTATCAAGAAAATTGAGAAGACCATAATATTTACTACTCCTTTGTCCCAAGATATAATAAAGCAAATGAACACAGTTCATGTGTGGTTATTTTTCTGCTGTATTATGTAGACTTCCTTTAAATTTATCTAGCTTGATGTCACAAAATATAAATATAGAAGCATATCATTATTAGAATTGTGGAATAATAGCATATTGCAATTGGCTGGAACTCTGTATGAAGAAGAAATGGGGCATAGAGAGGTAATGTGACTGCCCCAGATGACACAGCCAATGAGTCTGGAAGCACATTTATTTTATTCTAGAATCCTTTATCAGATGTTTAGCTCTTTCTTCTAGTTAAAGGTCATTTTGTTAAAAGTGGGGGGGGGGACAAACTAGCTTAAAATGAGATGAGCATGACAGTGTTTTGTCGTTAATTTGTTAAGACAGCAGAAAAATGTCACTGATGTATAAAAAGAACTAATGTAAACAGACATACATTGATAGTAGCAAATGCTGTCATGATTTTAAAATTTATATCTATTAAAATCAGTAATTCCACTTTTGAATACTCTTGTTTCTTAATGTCCTATTTATTTTAGCTGAATGTGGAGCAAGTGTCAAAGGAAATGAAGGAACACTACTGTCTCCAAATTTCCCATCAAATTATGATAATAATCATGAATGTATCTATAAAATAGAAACAGAAGCTGGCAAGGGGATCCATCTCAGAGCCCGAAGTTTTCAGCTCTTTGAAGGAGATACGCTGAAGGTAATAAATAAGAATCTAAAATAGTTCTTTCTTATAATTTATTTATCTAATTGAGAAGATAAAATATTATGTCTCTGCTTAGTTGAGTATATTATGGACTTCAAAATACCTTATTCATTGTGTGCCACTGCCTCAGAATCAACTTATAGCTGACCCTCCAATAGTTTTTAAGAGGTTTTAAATCACACAGAAGAAATTGCCTTTCTTGTGTGGAGCAAGAATTTGTGAATTCATGTCATATGGTATTAGCAGCTCAACCCATTACCACTATATCACTAGAACTCCTTGACTTCCCAGTAGTTCTTATATTTAACAAGTTCTTCTAGTAAATCATTGCCAAGTTATTGAACAGTTTTGAGCCTTAGTTATCCCATGTGTAAGCACACAGAACTACTCATCATTTTTGGTTACTGTGAACATTGCATAAATGATATATGTGAATGTTTCTAAAATTATGTCCAAGATGTAGTAATAATTATAAAAATTTACAGAACCCCTAAGGTACATTATATTATACTTACTATTTCTTTTAAATTAAAGCACAATATCTTGAGGTATTGTTGTTGTATATCTTAGCCCATACCTGACCCGCCCACCCCAGTGTGTTTTCAGAGGCAATTAGTTGCACAGGAGGATACTTGCTGGAACGTGCAATCATAAACAAGGGCTCTATGAATTACAAAACAAAAAATATTAAAACCTCAATGATTTCTCTGGAGTTCTGAACAAATGCAGAATTTTTACGTAAGGCCATTTTAAGTCCTTGGAGGCAAGGACATTAGGAGATTATTTCACATACTTTGGGCATGTTCTCAAGAGGGACTTTCCTTGAAGGAGGACAACATACTTGGAAGGGTGAAGGGTCAGCACAGGAGAGAAAGACCCTGGATGAGATTGATTGACACAGTGACTGTGGCAAAGGGATCAGGTATGTTAAGAGACAGTTGTGTTGGCCAAGTTTCATCAACCACTGGCAAGTTTCAGAACCATTGTTCATAGGGTCACTATGAGTTGTAGATAACTTCATAGTACGTAACAACAACAGCAACAACTCAGAGCCTGCTTGATAGAGTCTAACAACCAGAGAGAACCCAGACATAAATGCCAGAAGAAATTAATGACAAACTCCTGCCTAGATTTAGAAAAATGTCACTTACAGTTGAGATGTCTCTTAATTCTTAAGGCTTCTGATATAGGACCTCCATTCCTATTCAAAACTTAATTACAAAACAGTTATAAGTTGGTTCTGACTCAATAGCACATAACAATAACTCTCCTATACTTAGTTCAGGAAATTGGATCGTAAGGATATGACAAGGACATTGGTAGACTCCAAGAACAATGGAAAGAGAAAGGTTTCAAACCTCACAGCCAACTACTAGAAACTCCTTACTCCAACTACTCACTTTTCCCTATGTGAAGTGAAACAGTTTGCCCAAGGTCATAAGACTTATTTGTGGCAAGATAGGGCCACATTCTTCTCATTCCCTTTCTGAAATATCCTAATGTTTTAAATTATTCATATATCTAATTGAAGTCACAAAATAATACCTGGCAGATCCAATAGATAAAATTCCACTTAAACTTAAAAATATAAGAAGACCCAACTAGAAAGAAAAAGTGAATAATCTCTATATTCATCATTCACTTGTATAATGAAGAAAGTGGAATCTCTGGAGGAATGTCACTTGATCTCATTAGAAGGTATGCACACAAGTCAGAAAAAAAGAGTAAAGTGTCTTACTTCTTGCTAAGTGCACAGCTGACTATATCTCAAAATCACAAATCAGAAGAGTGCTTCTATTCTAGTTGCTCTTTCATTTTTTAGTAGATTTTCAAAATATCATACTGGCAGTACAAAGAACTGTAATTAAGTTATTTTTAAGCAGAAAACTAGCACATTGTTCATATTCTTTATATATATATATATATATATATATATATATATATATAGTTACATGGTAAATAAAACGTCTCTGAATTATTTGACAACCTCAAACCAAGAGGTCTGTAAGCCCTTAAGGAAAACTTTTAAGTCACCATTAACTATCTTGTGATGCAGAGGAATGATTAAAACTATTGAATAAAACATACTCTGAAAATTAGAACTAGAATAAAAGGAAGGAATTCCTGTCCATCTGAGCTTCCATACCACTTGAATTTGTTGATTTTAGAAAAAAAAATCCTTCCTCACTTTGTCTGACATACTTTGGGCATGTTGGAGAAGGAGATCAAGATTGGGAAGGTGAAGGGACAACGCAGTAGAGGAAGGCCCTCTATGAGGTGGATTGATTCAATGATTGGGGCAATAATGATGGGTGTAGCAGAAACAGTGCGATTGACGTAGGACAGAACAAAGTTTAGTGCTGTTGTACATAAGGTCTCTGTGAGTCACAAGCAATTTGATGGCACATAACAACAACAACAATAACCACACATTTAATTGCATAGAAACTGTCAATCGTCTTAAATACCTCAGTGTTGTGCAGGCATCTATTTTATTGAATATGCTAATAAATACCAGAATGCTAAAATATTTCAAGTAGAATTATTTTTATTTTATTATAAATCCTATATAGAGGCATTTGACTGTGTGGATTACAACAAACTGTGGCTGACTCTGAGAAGAATGGGAATCCCAGAACACTTGATTGTGCTTATGTGAAACCTATACGTGGACCAGGAGGCAGTCATCAGAACAGAGCAAGGAACCACTGCATGGTTCAAAATTGGGAAGAGTGTACATCAAGGATGTGTCCTATCTCTATATCTTCTCAATCTATATGTGGAACAGATTATCCATGAAGCTAACCTCTGTGAGGAGAAGTGTGGCATCAGGATTGGAGATGCAGATTACACAACCCTGTTTGCTGAAACTGAGGAGGACCTGAAGCGCTTGTTGCAGAAGGTCAAGGACTGCAGCCTTCAATATGGATTAAGGTTCAACATCAAGAAAACAAAGATTCTCACCACTGAGCTGATTGGCAGCACCATGATAGGTGGTGAAGAGATTGAGATTGTTGACATCTTCAGTTTTCTTGGCTCTACAATCAATACTCTTGGTACCAGCAACCAGGAAATTAAAAGATGAATTGTATTGGGAAAGCCTGCTGTCAGAGACCTCTCCAAAGTCCTGAAGAGCAATGATGTCAGTCTGGAGAATAAAGTGCGCCTGATACAGGCTATGGTCGGTCTTTTTAATTACTTGTTATGCATCAGAGTGCTGGACAATGACTAGGGAGGATAGAAGGAGAATTGATGCCTTTGAGCTGTGGTGCTTGAAGAGTATCGAATCTACCATGGACTGCTAAGAGAGCAAACAAGTTAGTCCTGGAGAGGGTGAAGCCAGGCTGCTCCTTGGAGGCAAGGATTCTGAAGCTTTATCTGACATATTTTGGACATGTTGCAAGCATAGATCAGTCCTTGGAGAGATACACCATGCTTGGTAGGATAGAGGGACAGCACAGGAGAAGAAAACCCTTGATGAGATAGATTGATTCAGTCACTGGGGTAATGGGGATATGTATGTTAGAGACAATAAGATTGGCAAGGGATTGAGTAGGGTTTCAGGCTATTGTACTAATGAGTTGCAGACTACTTGCTGGCACATAACAACAACAAAAACAACAATATAAATCCTGAGTATAACCATTCTTTCATACATTCTATGATTCAATAACAAAACCTAAAATAGCTTACATTCACACCAACACATACATATGATATATAATGGGTTTTTTTCCCACATATTATGTAGAAAAATTATCTAAGAGAATTACAGTTCTAATGATATTGTTATTAACCCAAAGAGAAGTTAAATTCAGAACAAAATCCTAAAATATAGTTTCTGGGATTGAATTCCCCAGTACTTTCAGCATTGCCACTTCAGGAATGTGCTGTCTAATCTGTGACAGTCAGCTAAATCCGCTATATCACTTTGAGCATATGGCATTGATTAAATGCCAAGCTCTGAGGAGGTTTTATTTTGCAAACAGTTATAGATCTGTATTAAACATATGAATCATGACAAATTTTAATAACTAAAAAGGGCCCTGTAATTCTAGTGATTTTATATGTGGCAAATATATAAGAGACATTTGATGAGATGAAATGACTTGTCACTAATGGAATTGGAATTTAAACTAAAAATCTCCATGACTCGAGTACTACCTAGATTTGCGTTTGTGACATCTTCTAAACTTAAATCTAAACTTCAATTTTTGAGAATTGATACAATAATGTTATACATTCATCCTGTATATTATTCATTCTTAGATGTGTATTAGATCTGTTTACTGGTGATAAAGAAAAAAAAGACAAAATTATCATTCTTGATAAATTTACAGTTGAGTATTTTAGCTCTTAATTTGTAGTTACTATCACTGAATTGAGGGAACTCTGGTAGCCTATTAGCAAGAAGCAGTGCTACAATCACAAAGACATGGTTTGAGGCCACTTGCTGCTCTGTGGTAGAAGGATGGACAATTTCCTCTCATGTGATTATTGTCTCTGAAAACCCACCAGAGGGTCATCTATGGGTCGGTTCTGACTCTATGAAACACAACAAATGGCAAAAACATCACCGGGTCCATAGGCAACATTATGATTTATGGAGAAAAGGTTGAAATTTTCAACAATATCTTCTTATTTTATCCACATTCAACACCACTACAACCAGCAGTCAAGAAAGTAAAAGATGTATAACATTGAGAAATATGCTGTTAAGGATGTCTCAAAGTGCTGAAGAAAAATAATGTCAGTTTAAAGACCAAGGTATGCCTGATACAAGCCATTATCTTTCAATTATTACACATCTGAAAGTTTGACAATAACTAGAGGACAAAATAATGGTTTTGAGTCTTGGTATTAGAGGAGAGTACTAAATATCCTCCAAGGAGCACCCTGGTGGCAAGGATGTTGAAGTTTCATTTTTATTATTAAGAAGGGCCAGGCCTTGGAGAAAAACATCATCCTTAGAATCGTAGAGGATCATCACAGGA